TAACTCTTATGCNCCCTATAATTCTATTTTTGAAGGTGAATTTTACGTTAATGTGCTAAGTTATGTCTCCTGATATTAAAAATGTTTTAGAACTTAGTTGTATACCCTCTGGTATACTTCTAAGAAATATTCAAAAATTCAACAAATTAACTCTTATGCATCCATTAATTGCGATTTCAAATCAATATTTATACAAAGTAGTAGCTAGGTTACTTCAATGTCACTATTGATGATTAGGAATGTAGCCAAAAGTGAAACAATTGAACATTTTTTCATTTTCATGATTAGAAGAAGAAAAACTTCCAATTCAAGAAATGAACTTTCTGGTTTCAAGTAACTTATATCTATCCATAAGATAGTGTCAAGATTGGTCTGTAAAAGTGACGCTTGCCATAATTGACACTAATATTGCGATATTGCAAACTTTGCATTCTTTCTTATTTAGCTTACATGCTACTTCAAATATTATTTTATGCTCTATTTTAGCACAATCCATTTAACGAAGAAACTGTAAGATTAAGAAAACTCAACGGCGAGCATGCAAAACTTTATCTAAGGAACATGATGTCGTAGACATTAATTTTTTTGTTAAATTTACAAATAGGGTGACCNCGAAGAAACTGTAAGATTAAGAAAACTCAACGGCGAGCATGCAAAACTTTATCCAAGGAACATGATGTCGTAGACATTAATTTTTTTGTTAAATTTACAAATAGGGTGACCTTCTGGACTTTATTAACAAGGTCGGATAGAGCTACATATTCTTTAATAATTTAACCATTTTGTTCATCTAGGAAAAAATCATTGTAACTCTGTTACCTCATTTCATTTTAATTTTAGATCATACAAGTCACCCATGCGTTTTAATTTATGTATACTATGCATTATTATGAGAAAATATGCATGATAATGGTCAGGGTCACGCATGAATGCTTTTTGTATTGTCTAAATTTATGCCATTTTTATTAGATAAATGATGGTAAGATACTCTTGTTAGATTGTCTAGGAGGTATGGTACGACACTGAGGTGTCATAAGTGAATTAACCCTTTCATAAGGTAACATTTCATTCCCTGAAAAAATTTGTAAATGCCTCAATGCTATTTCTAGATTAGGTTGGATAATCTTTAGGGTATGTTTTCTTTAGTATGGACATTCTAAATGTTAACATAGTTGGTGTTATTCCATGATTCCACATAAAACACCATTTCATGCATATCAATACTTCTGTGGAAAAGTATTTAAAAAATAGAATGATTTGAAACATCAATAATATTCTTCATTTGATTCAAAATCTTAAGTTTTGTTGTGAACTATTGCTTTTAGGTTTCTAATGCTATCTTAAAAATGACAAAAAAGTCAAAAAACTTGTCTACAAGTGACACACACGTTCAACTTCATGGATCATATGATGGATAATATTTCATGATCTTTATAGTAGTAATATAAAATATTTGATATTCAAAATAGTTTACTTGCAACACACTTGTGCACGAGCTAATTTCTTTATATTACAAATATATATTTAACCCAGGATTTGAAATTCAACCCGATTTAAATTCGGCCATGAAACCATGGGTGGGTTTTATACGTGGGTTTAACCAAAAAACATTTATACCCCATATAATTCTAAATGACTAACCCACTATTGACCAAACAATTATTTAGGTGTGAAAGTCTTTTTTACTGAGGATCTCTATATTTCTCTACTTCTCATGCAGACACACAACACACACACACAATACATGCACAAACACACACACACAATACATGCACAAACACACACACACACACACACACATTGTAACCAATTAAACACTCGCAAATCAAACTCACTCACCATTATACTACCACCAATAAATATTTATGATTGGAATCATTAGGCAAATGAAACCGTTTGTTGAAATGGTACTGCGAAAAAACTTATTTTATTTTAAGTTTTTCTCTACACTCCTCCATATCTTTTCCTAAATAAATTGGTAACTTGTTAAAATCTCTCTAAATTCTTACTTATATCAATCTTATTTATCCCCCCCATATATACAAATGTGTGTGCTCATTTGTTTTTTAGATAATTCAGGGTAATGAAATTAATTATGTTGAACCCAACTAACGAAAAAAATAAGGGATCTTATGTTTCGGATTTACAATTGTTTTATTTTGACTCACATATTTTGATATTTTTTATATTTAAGATATGTTTAGGTATACATTGAAGGATACTTGGTGTAAGCTATAAAGAAGATAAAATTGTTTNGTCACTTTCCTACCTTTTTTTCATGCTTTTAGTACTCATATATGATTTTTTTTGGGATAAGGTGGCTTCATTTTAATTGCTGACCCCATCAATAATAGGAATTCCAGTTTCCTTGCATTTGTAGTGGAGAAACTTGATGTGTGTTTATGTACATACCTTTTGTGGTTACTTGTACATGTTACACACATCTTAGGACTCGTAAAGGTATTTCTTTCTCTAGTCATANCGGATATGAAATAATGGTTGTTTTGGTGGTTGGGTATGTATTGATAATTGTGGTGATACGGTATATTATGATGATTATTATTAATGATGGTAAGTTTTGTAGACATCTTTAAATTTTTTTGGACTTCTATTTTTAAAGAAAATTCTGTCGAAATTTTTTGAAATTAGTAGGGACTAGAATAATGTTTTGGTGGTTGAATTATGATGATTGTTTTTCTAATGTAAATTCTATTGATAGGTTGTTTTAGATTTACAATGAGTTTTTAAGTAATATATTTCCTCCGTTCCTAAATATCTGTTATTTTACATAATTTTTTTTGTTCTATAATATTTATCGTTTAATAAAACTATAACATAATTAATATTATTTTTTTTTAAATTTATCCTTAACTTTTTAATGCATTAAATTAGGTGGAGGTTAAGTATTTTTCATATTCTTTTCTTTTCTAATGCATATTGAATAAAAGTATTTTAGTCTTATATAATTATTTTTTACTTATATCAATTTCTTTAATTTTTGTACAAAAATATTAAACGACATATATTTATAAAGAAACGGAAGGAGTAATATTTTTCAAGTTTTAATTTAATTTTTTTTTGATTCGCCGTGCTTTCAGCTCGGCCAATTACTTAGCCGTTTAGACCCTATGTTACCCTATTCAGACATCTCTGATCTGATCACCATCGATCAACACACGCACAAGATTCCACAGTGTTCCTGCTGAGGAACTTACGTACGATCGATCAACACAGAGAAGATTTTTCTGGGAAATACATTGACCTGCAAAGAATCTTTGAGAAATCTGTGAGAAAGACTGAATTGGGAGAGGGAGGACGATTGTTGTCCTCTTCCCTGGAAACGAGTGAAGAAATTAACCCTGCTGTTGTTCGATCTGCAAAAAATATTTGGAAAATCTGTGGGAAAGATATTCCTCTTCGCCCTATCAAGTCAGTCACTGTTGGGAGATGCTATATAAAGCCCTCCTATTGTTCGATCGAAACACATCTATAAGCCGAGGTAATTCTTCGTTCTCTGTCTCTTCGTCACCGCAGATTTTCTAAGGTATTGTCGAATTAAATCCTGTCTTTTATTTACTGCTATTTGGTGTCTCTCTGATCGAGTACTGGTCTCATTTATGAGAAGGTGTACAGCTACCTGTATGTTGTGTTTATCTTTTGGGTCTTTGCATTTTGTTCGATTTGTTAGGATTATGGGGTGATACTTTTCTAAAAGGGCACCAATATGTTTGTTTGCAAAACGTAATTCTCAAGTTTCAAAATGCCTCACTGCCCTGTTATATGCTTTACCCGTGGTTCACAACCTCAAAACTAACAGTTTATACAATGGAAGGAAAAGCGAAATGTCCCGGTAATCTAGGATCACAATTTAGCACTTTCATGACAGTATTCACTTCAGCAATGAACAGGAAAGGCGGTTTAAAATAACAAAGCAATGTCATTTGATGGGGGAACAAGCAAGCAAGCACGGAAGATGGACACCTCTTAAATAGAATTTGCTAACTCACTTAGATTCAGATAGAGTTCTTAGTAAACCCCTCCCCAAAATTCATCCGAACAAGCCATTCAAATCTATTCAATCTCTCTCTCTCTCACACACACGCACACACATATACCCTTCTCTGTGATTTGTTTGCTCAGGCTTTGGTTCTCTCACACTATCAGCTGAGGTTTGATTCCTTCGGTGTCGTATCATTCTATACATTTTTTTTGTAAGTACACTATACATTCAACTCTGAAAACTTTTATGCTTATTATCTACCTTAGCACTCTTTTCTTAGTTTTTTCCCTTCTTGTGTACATTTTTAGTCGATCAAAGTTAACTCATTTATTTGATTTATAATTGATGTTGAATGTACCCATCAACAAAAAGACCCAACAAAGAAAAAAAAAATTAGACCCATGAAGGATACGACTTAAATTTGTTGGTTTTTGGATTGCGAAATAGTTGATTGATGAATCTATTATAGATCGAAGAAAACCAACTGAACAAATGGTTGTTACCGAGAATTTTACATAATTGATCTAATAGCTTCAACCGTTTTAGCAAGAACAATAGTTTGATTAGCACCAATGTAAGTTACTAGTTTTGTATTGAAGTTGGTAACTATCTTACATATTATACACAAGACCCAGATTTGAGTAGCCTCATTAAAGCTTGAAATGTAAAATTATTGGTGTTTGATTAGAGTTTGATTAGACTTATTAAATTGTTGATGGGCGAATGAGAAAAGAAAAAAGAAATGTAAAGTGAACTTTTTATGAAAAGCTTGGCCTGAATGATTCACAGGCAGTACTTTGTAATCTTGTCTGCAAATATTGTCTTTGAATGAAGTTTTGAGTTTTTTTTTTTTTTTTTTTTTTTATCATGAGTTAGTTTCCAAGAAAAAGGAATTTCATGAATTACATGAACTGTCTTAAACTTCAAATTTTTGTATGCACTTTTACAAATATTGAACTCAGACTCTTGAGAGTCTGAGTTCAATATTTTCTGCTGGGCCATGAATGCCTTGGTGAGATCAAATGGCGATAAATCTTTAACTGCCCCAGCTGGTGCATTGCATTATTTCCTTTTCAGATTCCTTGAGTTGCCAGAATGGGCTCGGCTTGCTTGGCTCAAGAAATTAAAGTAATTGAGTGTATGCGTTTGTAATTTCCTTTGCTGTGCGTATTTGTGTTTGCATGTTTATGATAGTTCAATTCTTTCCTTTAGACTTTTAGGAATGGATTTTATATGTACAATTTACTCTCAATTTTGTTTTTCCATTTGCATATGAAAAGTTCCTTTCAACTGAGTTGTGTATCAAACATGCTTTTGCTTTTCTGCATTTTCTTCCAAAATATACTCTTCCGCAGGTTGCTCATCAACATGCTATTCCTTTGTGTGTGTGTGTGTATTTGCTTCAAAGCAAAAACGAAAATCTGAGAAAGTTGCTTTCTTGGTTATAAAAAGTACTTTAAAAAGAAGCACTACCAGAAGGTGCATATTTGTTGAAGTGAGAACATATAGAATCTTTAAATTAGTAATAGGGGGTCGATCCCTTTGCTAGTTGGTGCCGCCTTCATTAATTGTGCGGAATTTGGACGAGTATATGTGAAGGAAATAAAAGTGACACCTGCTAGGAAAAGGTGGAAAATTGCCAGTGGGTCAGACTAAAACAGTATGGAAGAGAAATGATTTTCTTCATCCTAGAACATGTTCTGCATGGCAGACACCATTCTTTTGGTTTTGTTGGCTTCTCTTGAACTGATTTATGAACTTTCTTTTGTTGCTGTACACTTATGTTGGAGTTTGTCCAGAGTCTAGACTTTTTTTCTTTTTAATTATTGGAGGCTCCCTATGCTCCTTATCTTTAATTGGTTTGCTGTTGTATAAGATTTATGAAAAGGATGATTCCAGTCAAATTGCCTTTATATTGCGAGAAACATTTCCAAGTCCATGAGGTTTTCATTGATGTGTGTTTCACGATTCATTAACACATCTGGTTGTATTTGTGATAATTGTGGAGACCATAGTTGTTAGTATCGTACGATACGTTACGATACAGAAGTAAAACGATACGGATCGTAGTTATGTATCGTTTTTGCGTCGTATTGTCCAATACACGATACGTTTTTACGATACAATACGATCGATACGCGCAAAACCTGTTTTTTTTTTTCCTGAAACGACGTCATTTTGTCTAAATAAGACACTAATTTTATTCCCGTCACTAATGAAATGACGTCATTTTGTCTAAAAATTTTTGAATCTTGATTAATTTTATGGATTGAATTCAAAATGGATGTTAGAAATTTGGATTAAAAGTCTCTTTGGTGTTTGAAGTTTGAATTAGTGAACTATGGTTGTAAACTTTGCATTATAATATTAGTGAACTATGTTGATGACTTGAATAGGTGGTGGAGTATTAATGATATGCTATATTTTTATGAGTGTATAATTTTTTTTTAAAGGTATATATATATTTTTATTATTTATTTAAAATTACACCGTATCTTACGATACACGATACGATACATTATTTTTAAGAAACGATACACCTTCTAATACACGATTTAATAACTATGGTAGAGACCTGTTTGCCATTACCTGAGTAATTCTATAAACTTTTTGCGTTATGCAGCCTTGTTGAAAGACCTATTTAATTCTATATTAAGTATGTGAAGTTCCCCAAAAATATTTTAAGAGAGTTGTGATGTGGAGCTGTTAGCCTATTTTAAATGTAAGAAAATTTATTGCTTGAGTTGGGATGGCAGGAACGTGGTGGTTATGAAAAAGAAATTGTCTTGAGTTGTTATTTATCCGTGTAGGCTTCAAAGCTATGTTACATTGATGCTGCTAAATGCATGAAGTCTTTGTGTACGACATTTGACCGTGGAAAGAGTAATGGGTAAATGTCCTCCACTTCCCATTGCATATGCACCCTAGCACGCATGTCTAGCAATTCACGTTGAGTACATAATTGGACGTAAAATTCTCTTGATATGCTCCTCCTGTTGCACAATTGCTTTAAGTGATCGAAGTCCTTGCTTTTGAACACCCTATGTTAGATAGAACACCATTTCACTGCAACAAAAGAAATAAATATTTAAAAAATAAATGTTCTGCCACATCCCCATTATGTTGAATTTGAAGAGTGGATGAATCCCACATTTGGATACACGGTTGCACCCGACACTCAGATGCAATTCCAAGTAAAATAACTGAAAAGCATAATGAATCCATCTAATTGTTTTTATTTACGTTTGTTATGTGCCACTAGGGGCCAGTTTATGATTTTTCTGTCCATGTATCTGTTTGGCAGCCATGCCAGGGAACTGATGCATAGGGAATTTGAATTTAATCCCTCTGTTTTTCTCTCCCTTCTCTTGGAGCAGTCACTTTCCTACCTTTTTTTCATGCTTTTAGTACTCATATATGATTTTTTTTGGGATAAGGTGGCTTCATTTTAATTGCTGACCCCATCAATAATAGGAATTCCAGTTTCCTTGCATTTGTAGTGGAGAAACTTGATGTGTGTTTATGTACATACCTTTTGTGGTTACTTGTACATGTTACACACATCTTAGGACTCGTAAAGGTATTTCTTTCTCTAGTCATATCGATACAATAGGCTTGTACTTTGTGTATTTGTTTTCGTAATATAAAATTTACGAGCATCAGTTATGCATATTTGGTGTAGCCATAGTAAATTACAAGGAAAATATTTTCTAAATGCATCTAGTTTATTTAGGCATCTACAAAGGTTTTTTTTCTGTTGGTTTCCTGCATATGGTTGAGCTATGAAGATGTGAATAGTTGTTCTTACCATTTACTAGTGCATTTTGTATGTATGAAAGATCTATCCCACATCTAAAACAAACTTAAGTAGACCCAAGGTAGGTTTATATTACTTTAGGGCCTCTTTACCCATATTACGAATTGGTTTTGGGTTGAATGCTTTGCATGATATCAAAGTTAGGTCTTGGGTAATTAGTGGGCCAAGTTTTTCACAGTGGAATTACTCAGTTTGTTTCCCTCACTGTTTCGGTTCAGTTTCAGTATATTTGTTTGGCTGTTAAAATTTGGTTTGTTAGCCCACAGGCAAGTCTGGGTCACATGTGAAGGGTGGGTGCGAACAGAGTTATCTCACATCAAAAAATTAAGTAGACCCATTGTTGGTTTATATTCTTGAGGGATCACTCTGCTCATTGCCAATTGGTTTTGAGTTGGCCACTCTACTCATTGTCTATGCTGCTCTTGTCTTTTGCTTGTGGTGGTTGGCTTGATTGATTATGAACCAACTTCTTCCTTTCCTCATTGATTTTTACTGTCTCTTTTCAATTTTTACTGGATGGCACACGTTCATGAGGTTTTAGAGTTAAGTTGTCTGTATTTTGAAGTAAAATATGTAGGGCTTATTTTGTTTTATATCCCTTATTGATATCTATCTTCATCTACAGGCTAAGATCTTTTTGGGTTTAATTTTTACAGTGGATTGGCAATTACTGCTGTAAAGAAAGCTCTGTTTGCACTTCTCGTTCTGAAGGTTGAGTTAGCTGGACTATGGTCTCTGCGTAGTAGTTGCAGAAAATAAGATCACCTGGATTGTTTCTGTATTGACTTGATTTGCATTGATCGAGATCATGGAGACTGAACAACAAGCAGAGACATTCCTTAACCAGGCGGGTAGCTCAGATGGATCTGTACCAAACAACTCAACTCATGTAGCCCAGGTGAAGAAGCTCNATTTGCATTGATCGAGATCATGGAGACTGAACAACAAGCAGAGACATTCCTTAACCAGGCGGGCAGCTCAGATGGATCTGTACCAAACAACTCAACTCATGTAGCCCAGGTGAAGAAGCTCCTGTTTCGTCGAATGCTGGTGGGTGTCAGTGATGGGCGGTTCTTCTTAGGCACATTCTACTGCATTGATAAACAAGGAAACATCATTCTGCAAGATGCAATTGAGTATCGTAGCACCCGACGTTCCTCTCCTTCCCCTATGGAACAGCGGGGTCTTGGTCTCATTCTCATCCCTTTTTCATGTCGAACATCTTGTCATGTGGATTGCTCCATTGATGAACAATTGTCATTACTCTCGCTTCAAGAACACAACTGATGTTATCTACTGCAGATTTTCACTGTCTTCCGAGTACATGAAGCCGAGGTACTTTATGATTTGAGTTTGTCCAGTAGTTGCTTGTTAAATAGAATGTCATTGTTATTGCTTGTGGAATGGATTTTGTAGCTCGATATGCATTATTTTTTAAATGGTCTGATCTAGCAAACACTTGCCTAAAGTATGAGCTCTGTCTTAGTATAGAAAATGTTACAAGTACATAAATTTTGCACTGATGTTCAACAATTTCCCACTTCGTGGTGCTACAATATACGAGTAAAGTTGTTTATTTTCTTAGAATTACGGTATACTAGTTTGTTTTAAAAAGAGAATATTAATAGGGTGCAACTTGGGCGGGCATGATGAGTAGAGAGATCGACTCCTTCTAGCATTATTTTATCATATATTTTCAAGTTTGTTTTGTAAACAATGCAAATTCCATTAATGTGTGGCTTTGCTCGATTGGACTCGACTTTGTTTGAATAGGTTCTTGTTTAAAAATGATCTCAACTGTGTTGCCAAACAACTTATGCAAATTCCCTCATTTTTATAATAAGTTTTTTGGAAAATTCAAAGTTTTAGGGTTTAATTTTACGATTAATTGTGCAAAATTCGGGGTTTTTTTGTGGAGAAATTTATTATTAAGTTTTATTGTTTTATTTTTAAATTTTTTTGGCTAAAATACTGTCGATTCAGTTAACACCCTAGGTCAAAAAAACAAAAGGAGAATAATATTGTGCCATTATTAGCAAATGCTATGATGAATAAAAGAAACCTAAGATAAACTGTACCCAATTTGATTAAACTATTAAACCAAGTTTAATCATTTGGCACCTATATGGTTGAATGTAGTGGAAGTTATTGATGCTAAAAAAGTGAAAAGAGCCACTCACATCTTTAATTTATAACTAATGTGAGATCAGCTAAATTAACCTACGCTCATCATTATTGATTTACGGCTCGCTCAATTAGTACACTAGCTATTTCAAAGGAATTCGTTCCAAAGACGTTTTTAATCGCTCTCGATTGGGACAATGTGGTCATATCATTGAAGAATTTCGTCATGCCACCCGCTAATCTTACACTATGAGTACTACTGCAACATAGCCAATAGAGAGATCACTCCCTCCCTGGGCTCAATCATGGCTACCAATCAAGATTCAGGGGAAAAATAATTGCCAGAAAATCTGATGCCATAGTTAAGAAAATTTGCCCAATTAATAGATGCCACGAAGACGTGATAATACAAAACGCATACGTAGTGTCAACTTCAGGACGAATTGTAATTTATAAATAGTTTCAAATATCTGGGGTTCACTCTTGCTCAGATATATCAAAATGCGAGGCCTCTATTGTAAGAGGTAGTCTGTCATAAAATAAAAAATAAAAAAAGTGCAAATAAANCGATAATACAAAACGCATATGTAGTGTTAACTTCAGGACGAATTGTAATTTATAAATAGTTTCAAATATCTGGGGTTCACTCTTGCTCAGATATATCAAAATGCGAGGCCTCTATTGTAAGAGGTGGTTTGTCATAAAAAATAAAATAAAAAATGTGCAAATAAATAATTGTAAAATGAAAAAAAAAAGGACAAGTACAAGATCATCATTTTCTTCTCAAAACTACAATCTAATTGAATAAGTTGTCTAGTGATTATAAGGTGATGTTGCTTGGATCCGGTGCTTTCTCTTTTGAAGGAACCTTTGCAAAGATNAGTCTGTCATAAAATAAAAAATAAAAAAAGTGCAAATAAATAATTGTAAAATGAAAAAAAAAGGACAAGTACAAGATCATCATTTTCTTCTCAAAACTACAATCTAATTGAATAAGTTGTCTAGTGATTATAAGGTGATGTTGCTTGGATCCGGTGCTTTCTCTTTTGAAGGAACCTTTGCAAAGACCTCTTCAATGGAAGACCAGTAGGGCTGGACAATTGAGATTNTGAATAAGTTGTCTAGTGATTATAAGGTGATGTTGCTTGGATCCGGTGCTTTCTCTTTTGAAGGAACCTTTGCAAAGACCTCTTCAATGGAAGACCAGTAGGGCTGGACAATTGAGATTGCAACAATGGGGAAGGTGGGTCTGATGAACCAGATAGAGTCTTGGACTTCTCTTCCATTTCTCTACTTGCAAGCAATATGATGGCTCTGGCCTGCAATATATATAAACAGATTTATTAATTAATAATAATAGCATATATCTATTATATAAAACAATACAGATTGCAATAAATTTATTATTCGACAGTCTCAAATAGACTAATGCAACAACCATCAACATCTTTCTTAAAACAATTCACATTATACCGTGCCTTCAGATTTTACTTAGATGTAATTTGGAAACCTGATTTATTACGCTNAGACTAATGCAACAACCATCAACATCTTTCTTAAAACAATTCACATTATACCGTGCATTCAGATTTTACTTAGATGTAATTTGGAAACCTGATTTATTACGCTCGTTATGTTCGACTATTAAATGAGACCCAATTTCATCCGACAAATATTATGGATTAATTTTCTAAATTAAGTATGAATTACATTTTTCAAGGCTTTGTCGAATACACATCAGTAACTTTTGTCCAAAAAGACACTTGTGATTGGGGTAAAGTGAAACAATTCAAGTAGTTGACGGGGGCATTGTGAAAAATGCAATAATTTAAGGGAAAAAACAAAATTGAGTTCATAGTTTAGACTTAGTTGGTGAAAGTGTAATTTGCCCTCAAAAAAAAAAAAAAATCCTCCAAAATTCACCACCAGACTAAACGAGAAACGACATCACTAAACAATCTGTGAAAGGTTGTGACAAGGTGATCAGCGAGTGCGTGAATTTTCCATTAATCTGTCTTCCTAAATGTCCTCAAATGTAGAGAGAGAGAGAGAGAGAGAGACCTGAAGCTCTGTTACATCACAAACACTGACTCTTCCATCATAGAAAATGGTTAGCTGTTGCTGATGTTTTTCATTTGTACTTGCACCCATCAAATCCATTCTAAAAAAAAAAGAACACAGAGAAGCACATGGGTTAGTGATGATACTGTGTAGAATGGAGAGAGAGAGAGAGAGAGAGAGAGAGAGAGAGAGAGAGAGAGAGGACTTACATGGGTTCTTGGTGATGGTGCTGATCTTCAAAATCCGTCGACTGGAGAGAGACAGAACTGACTGAAGTTGGTACAAGACGAAGATCCAAATTACAGTTCCTCCCCATTTTCAAGGCTTTACAATTATATATAATGCAGAGAGAGAGAGAGAGAGAATGGTAATACTAGTAGTTGAAGGTAATAGGACAGAAGAATGAATGCAGCACATAAAGGGCAGTGGTGTGTATATAAAGCGGGTGGTTGTGGTGGGGTCAAGAGGCGAAGAACAACGTTTTGAAAAAAACAGTTCAAACGCGAAACGCACACGAAACAGTGGAAGGAGATACACAAAAAAATCGGCGGTTTTTGATTTAATGGGAATGTGTTTAAATAGCACGTGCTAAACGATTTTCCCCAAAAAGCGGCCACCTTTACTAGTTCCACAATCCTAATTTGCTATCATACACGTGTAATAGTCGACAAATAAAAACATAATAATTTCTTTCATCCATTTGAAAATATTTATCTTAATGGTCACACCTAATTACTATTGTCACGTAAAAAGTATCATTTATATAATATAAAATGCANAAAAACATAATAATTTCTTTCATCCATTTGAAAATATTTATCTTAATGGTCACACCGAATTACTATTGTCACGTAAGAAGTGTCATTTATATAATATAATTCAATTATCTGATACGGAATTAGTGAGTTTATATTCAATTTTAACGGGTTTAAGTGATAAACGAGTGAATCCTTTAAATCTATTATTTACACGGGTTGTTTTCAAGTGAAGTATATCAACCCGTTTATTCGTTTAAATTTTAAATAAGTATACATAAAAATTAGATCTAGAACAAGTTCAATTTTAATTTTATTGAGCTTATCAACAGTTCAACATACATAGGAGTTTAAATTTTAAATAGGCTTACATAGGAATTGGATGTTAAATTTGAAGTATGTTTTTCTGGTTTGTTTTGGTTTTTAATATTTTTGTAGTGAAATTTGATTTTTGATGGATATATGGAATGTTTGAATTTTGTGGATACGTAAATTTTTGATAATAAATGGGCCAAATGGGTCAAACTGGGATGCAATTGGGACGGGTGAAAAGGTTATCCTGTGAACAAAAAATTGACCCAAATCAACCAATTTATTTGGCGGATTACACGGGTCGGGTTGAGTAATCACCAAATAAATGGGTCATGTTAATTTTTTTGTGATTTTCACTCGTTTAATAAACAGTTCGCGTACAGGTTAAGCGATTTTTGACACGAACTAGTTTAACTTGACACGGACCCACTTAATATCAACAAGTGAATAAAATGGACCATCTCTTTCGGATAACTATCCTTCAATGTAAGATAATAATCGCCTCATGTTTAAAAGTGGGATTTACTTTGCCTACTTATTGACTTTATTAGAAGACGGTTACACTACGTAACAATACTAACGTAATGTAATCATTATAATAAATATTTACTTGCTCTATGGATCTAATTTGGTGAGTTAATTAAAAATCTAATTCAATATGATTATTAGACTAACAAAGTTCTAATATTAAATGGACCCCTCTTTCAATCCAACATCTATAGTTGGTTAGTTCTCTAGATTGAGTCTCCAAAATGAATAATGTTATTGAGACATAATTTAAATTGTCAGGGGATCTCGACATTGAATGTACTCCATTATTAATCTAATGGTAACAATGTATTAAATTCTTAAATTATGTCTCAATAACATTAATATTTTTCTCTATGTTCTTCGTTGATAGATCGCATAATGTGAATTCAAGTGGGACTCAACATATATAAGTGAGTCTTTCATTCATCAATAATAATAAAAAAAATAAAGAAAAAAAGTATTATAGATGATCTAAATCTAGATCTGAATATTTCTTATCTTAACTGAAAAATAGGATAAAATAGTAATCTTACTCACCATGTGTTGCAACACATTGTTTTAGTCCCAAATTGTGGTTGTGGTTGTTGTATTATTACTCTTTTTAGTTTGTAGCTTGTCTCAGTTGCTTCCCCCCCCCCCCCCC